GCCAAAAAAAGGGGATTCTGGTACTGACCAACCTGAACTCTTCATGGATGGTCAGCAAGCTCTTGAGCGGGAAAAGCATGGCACTCTTGAACTCAGATGAACTCTTCAGAGTGTGTGACTCAATCGGGCGGGAAAACATCTGTCTGTTGAGCGATGCGTTACTCAAGGAGATTCATTTGACCTATATAAGCGTTTGAGGGGAAGGAAGTGCCCAAAGCCAGCCTTCTGGTGCATCTTGTTGAGCAGCTCTTTCAATTGGTCCTGGTGTTGAAGTGGAAAAGTTGGGCAAAATCCAGGTGGATATCATGAATGCATGTTTTCCCCCTCCACACGGCCTCTTGAATGTTTGGAAGGTTCCTATTTGGAAAGAATTGGACATTATATAACCACCAAGCGTTCCGAGGTTTCAAGCCATCCCACCAAACACGCCTTCTTGCCATAGGCAGAGCCATCCAAGTTGAAGAGCTGCGATGGCAAGTAGCCCTTGTTCGATCCAAAATTGAACGACCATGAGCAAACAACCAGAACCCAGTCGTAAGCCTGTGATCCTGGTGTGAACAACTTCGTGACCCTTCTTCCGCCAGATCTGGGAAGAAACTTCTTTTCAGGATTTCCTGAGAGGCTTCCAAATCAACCTCACCAAACCCAAGAGAATGGGCACTACGACCTGCCCCACATGTCGTGCACAGTGCCTGGGGTGCCACAGACTGGGAGCAGGGCGGCAGCCAGACGTCGGTGATTCCCATCTCTGCAAAAGTATCTACCTTGCAGCAGGCATGCCGTTTTCTTCGAACGCTCAAGTCACGGTCAAGTCGTCGCCCAAGGACACTAACGTTGACCTTTGCTACAAGAATGTCATGTTGGCAGTTCTTGCTCATATCTTTCGACTCTGACAACGGCTCAATGTAAGGGGCGAAGCAAGGCATTACTTTGAACATTGAGAGCAACTCACATCCAGCCAGTCCTCCGCTGCCTCATGATCACTGACTAACGCGCAGCTCATCCATCATTCATCTCCCCCCTGCCGAAAAAACGACTGGAAGAAACCGCACCTTGGACTCTATGATTCCATACCAGTTTCCTTTGCCCGCTTGATGACTCTCCCAATTGAAGCCTCGAGGAGACACGAAGCGAGCAAACCGGAGAACCGAAGGAGAAAAGATGAAACCTGCGGGTCGCCCTGTTTCAAGAGCCTTTGGGTTCCCTTTCCATGGAGGAAGCTGCACAAAGAGCGAGTGTTGCTTGTGCAAACAGTAAACATATACAGATTTGGGTTCTTTGCGGAGGAGAAACCAAGGAGTGCTGCAAAAATAGATTTTGATAGGAAAAATCCTGCATTCTGGGAATGGCTTGTGACCCAGTTGTTTCCAAACCCCATCCTCCAAGACGGAAAATATCCAAAATTGCGTCCGTTTTTGGACACGTCTTTCGACTGTCCCAAGGCCGGGGAAGTATATGCACATAATTGCTCTGCTAACCACACATGACACACCGCACATGGTATATCAAACATACACACACATACACCCACAGTGACTGATATCATTACTGTTTTACACATATATATATATACTAGGGTGAGATGACTTAGGCCAATTGGGTCGAAATGACATACAACTTTCCCAGGGCAAGTCCTAAGTCATGTACAAATGTTAAATTTGCAATTTCATTGGCACACACTCATGACATAGGCCTTGTTGACCTGGTCCTGAGTTTTTTTTTTTTTTTTTTTTTTGGGGGGGGGGGGTGGGTGGGGGGCATGCTCCTGGAAGATTAGGGTGAGATGACTTAGGCCAATTGGGACTTAGGAATCCTGTCTCATTAAGAACACATTACTACGAGTATCTCATTTAAGTCTGCCTTTGTGCGTTTTTGCTCTCAAATTCCTATCTCTCGATGGTTTATTCATTGTTTAGATACCAAAGTCGTATGTCATGATGCTTGTCAATATAAAATCAACTGTTTTTAGGATCTTTGGTGACAACCTCTGGCATCTCTGATTTTGAGGTTTTTCCAAGCTTTTGCTTCATGACATAAATACTTGTGGGGGGTAGGCTAAACCTTCATGACTTAGCCGCCGCAATTTGGAGGTAGTTTTCACAAGTCCTTTGTCATTTCAGCCTAGTATATATGTGATTACTATATACATATATATTTGTATGGTTGACAGTTTACACACACATGCTTTACCAGCACTGTGTGGCCCATCCACGCCCGCCTTGCAGGAGCACCGTCTGCGAGGCGTCCGCGTGATCCGTGATGTTCTTCATCTCCTCCAAAGGAATCATGCAGTTTTCCGAAACAAATCAGCCAGAAATACATCGATCAATGAATCATGATCCATGTACCGTTCTTCATCTCATCTCACACCGTCTTTGATCCACGGTGTGACAAAGCACCCAGGTGCGCGCGTCCTCCAACAGAACGCCGCTGGCCAAGCGCCTCGACCGGATCGCGAGGCTGAAATACATACCCTCCTACATGTGGCTCTGCGTCAAAACCGGGGGGCCCTACTTAACCAGCGAAAATCAACAAACTGAATAGACTATTGTGACTACTACAGAGGTCAACCGGGCCAACCAGGTCAACCGGGCCAACCGGGTTTCGACCCACGGCCGAAGTACGGAGTGCTGACATGACTCGCTCCCCTCCTCGTCGACGGCTCCAAGCCGACGGGGCGATGAGTCGAAGAAGAGGACCAAAAAACGGATTTGTGGCCAAACAAATGACCAAAGGCCACACACCAAGAGAATGACGTATAGCCAAAACAACGAAGGTAAGGTCCGCAGGACCTGATGATGAGGAAACAGGGACTACAAAGTGACATGAGACTAGTCAAGTCTCCAAAACCAAACAGCTAGGTGAGTCGCCTTTGCTGCTGATTGAGGCGTTCCCGCTCTTCAAGCTCCTTCACATGTTCTTCCTCGGCTTCCTCAGCAGCAAAACCGTGCCACGAAGTCGCCGTATCGTGTTCCTCTCGTTTCGGCTCGACTCCTTTTGGCAGGGTTTTCTTCGTTTCAGCAAAGAGTTTCTCGGAGATGATGCTGGAAACTCGGCCAAGGGTCGGCTTCGTGCATAAATTCGTCCAAGTCCATCATCATGAGACTGGGTGTCTTGGTCATCTCCATCTGCAGCGATCCATTGGAGAGCCGGAACAAATGTCGCGACCTGGGTTTTGAAGCAGACGGGGCCCTCTTGGGGTAGAACCCCGCGCACCAAGCCAGGTTCACCCCAATGGCACTGGGCCCCGTTCACCCGGAGACCGAAGGGAGCGTAACGTGGAGGATGTGCCCAACCCAGTCGACCTATTGGTTGGACTCTGGGGACCCACCAACCCAGTCTCCTCAGCTTCCAAGGCACTGGGATTTCAGCATAGGAGCTCCATCCTGTTGAAGGCAGAGGCGAAGGAGAAGCGAAGCGGCGAAGCGGGGCCAGGACAACCCCAAAGTCACCCACAAAACAATGACCTTAACTCTGCTGTTTTGACCAAGAAACAGGATCGGAACGAAAGAGGGCAGAGAATATAGGCATTCACACACCCAAGAATGTCTGAAAGTAAACCACGGAAAAAATAGTCTCAGAACTATTCGCAATGCTGTGAAAATCCAAACCATCGATTGACCTCCGCCCATCTCTCTCTGCACCTCCTTCAGAGGTTCTTCTCTGGCATCCTGCCAAGTAGGACTGTGGCTTAGAAAAAGGAGCGGCTTCAGAAGTTCTCTGGACGTCAGCAGGCTACAAAGACATATTAGGAGGAACTCTCAACCTCTTGTTAGACTTGATCTTTGGGCCATTTTGGAATCCTTTCGCAGGACGAGAAGGTTTGTGGTTGATCCGCTTGATCTCAGATGAAGGGATGACTCGGGCATCGAAAACGGCTGAAAGATGGCTGTGTGAATAACGGGGGGGTCCTTGAGCTCATTTTATAGGTAACCCCCCAATATGAATAAATTGTGCAAGTAGAAATTTGAGGGTCCTATAAAATGAGAGGTTCAATATCATTTTTGATAGCTGCATCACTACTGTAACTGTTTTTGATCGCTGCGTTCCAAAATTCTGCCCCTCAGTAACTGCCTAAATCTTTAGATGTTGAAAACTGAAAGACTTTGTGAACCACCCTTACAAAAACCTCAAATCACTATCAAATGACTCGCCTGACCCGTCCAGTGACGGGGGTATTAGCCGTTTTATATGAGGGGCTATCCCCCCTCATTTCATAGAGGAAATTGACATAGCCATGCTGAAAGAAACAACCCACATGGAAGTGGATTCGGCCAAGCGTTAACACCTTGGGGCAGGGAGGACACTTCACTGAGTTCACTGAGACAAGGTGTTTTCCTACCCGATCTCAAGAAGGTCTTCCAAAGCAGAGATGGTGGTTCTTTGATGGAAAGAAAGTCTCACTGACACGTCAGCTTGCACGTCCTGGTAAAGGACATCAAACAGTGCCCAAATTGGTCCGAACACCGTATCTGATGTGAGGTTCCTCCCACCAGCGCTCTGTCTCGCTCGAAACCCTTCGCATGAACTCGGCCCTCCAACGGTCGGACCCCCCACCGATGAAAAGGGCCTTTTCGGCCCGGAATGGTGTTTTCCCCCAAGCGCGAAAGACGCATCCTGGTTAGCATCCTACTTTCAACCTTTCATGTGTGTGTGACTTGTCTGTTTGTCCAAGTTCAGAAAGTCACATCGCCCTTCCAACCCCTTCGAACCCAAACCAACAGAGGTTGAAGAACCCAAAAAAATCTATTCCATAGGTACCCCAGGTGACGGGTCCTTGTTCAGGTCACTTAACGTCTCACCCACCCCGTCTCCACTCTCTCCACACTCATCCCGTCTCGGCCTCTGGACTTGGATAGCCATTCTTCTTCGTCTCCTCCGGCGGTCGATCTTTCTCCTTCTTCTTTGCAGCAGGCTCCTGATGATCTGCCCAAAGGGAAAGTCATATGCCATGACTCTCTGAGGGAACTTGAGGCCGTCGTTTGGGCGTTCTTGGAGATTCAGCCAAGCGCATTCTTGCTACGTAGCATGCCATGCTGTTCAGGTTTGAAGTTTGGGCACAGCCCGTCCGGAGGAAGCTTGGTGATCCATTCAGCTTTGCTACCTCGGTCGGTTCAACAAAGTCTTCTTCCACTATGTTTTTTGATGCTTTTGGCACCTGCCCTGTCAGCGGAAAGTATTCTTACTCTGCATAGTTGGCTGCCAATTGCTCACAATTCTTCTTCACCAGGCTTCAGATGGAATCTGTGTTGGGAATGAATGGTCATTGATGAGGAGTATGTAAGGATTCAAAAAAAGTACTCTGGAACCTCCACCAAGCAATCAAATTGAATGGTACCAAAGTATGCATGATTCCCTTGTCTTGGAACTGGCCCCTGGCTGCCTTTGCCAAGCGTCTGTTGTAGGCACACTTCACCGTGACCAGCATCCCCTCCGACAGCTGCCTTGGTGCCGTTTGCGGACACAAGAAGTTCTGTGATCTTAATGATGATGTCTCATCTCAGCAGCTCCTAGTAACTAGTAGTAAGGCCAGGAGCCCTTGTAGCGTCCTTGCTCCTAGTAGTAAGGCCAGGAGCCGGCCAGGAGCTCCTAGTAGCGTCCTTGCTCCTAGTAGTAAGGCCAGGAGCCCCTAGTAGCGTCCTTGCTCCTAGTAGTAAGGCCAGGAGCCCCAGCGTCCTTGCTCCTAGTAGTAAGGCCAGGAGCCCCTAGTAGCGTCCTTGCTCCTAGTAGCGATGCAAGGAGCCCTTAATAGCTTCTTGCTCCTAGTAGTAAGGCCAGGATGTTGGTGATCTTAATTCCTCGTCCGCCTTGTCTTCAGCTCTTGGGGCCCAACTCAGCCCTCATTTACTACCCGCGAAGTCTTCCGCCAAGATGCACGGTCTTGTTGTCCGTCCCCTCCCAACGAACACCCCCAGGTCCCACAATGACAATCCTCAGAGTGGCCGGTTTTGGTGCAGCAACCTCGCACCAGCCAACGGATGTTGTTCGGCGTGGGGGTTCCTCTTTGTGAGGGTTTCGCTTGTGAGATGGTATCATTGAGATGAAGTGCTTTCAACACTTATGGGTCGCCTGCAGGTGGTCTGCGAAGATTCCCAACGCCCTGACAGTCTTTGGGGTACGCGTCCGACAACTCCGACAACAGCGACACACAAACACACACGTCCATGGCCAAACTGGAGGGCCCCGGGGGTGATTCTCTGGCCGGGTTGATGTAAACGCAGGTACAAAATGACTGACGTCTTCAATAGGTGTCCTCCGCGGGTCTTCCTGAGTCTTCCTGTCAGCTTCTTTCAACCAATGGTTCAATGGTAGGCCGCGCTACAGCAGTTCCAAACACACTCATATGAAACCCTAGCGGCTGGCTTCAAACCACCCGGACTCACCCCATCCGCACTCCAGGACGCTTGAAGAGAATCTTCTCTGCAGAGATCTGGGCAAAGCGAAGAGCAAGATTGGGCGAGGTCAAGCATCAATGTTCAAAGGATCAAGAATCACTTGACTTATCAACTAGAGTTTCCCATTTCTGACATCAAACACCTGTGTACCGCACTGACTTCCAAGCTGGGCATAAGGAGATCTCATCCAAAATTCTGTCTGGTGAACAAAGCCACATTCAAAAGCTTCATGGCCACTGTTCTCGCATCTTGCACCGTCTGCCCACTATGTCTGGGTGGTCATACACTACTCACTGGTGAATCCAACAAAGTGCCAGGTGCTGTCATTTATGAAGTGTCGTCCACTACCTGAACTGGCCCCCCCATACCACTGGTATTCACATGTAAACTATTGAAGCTCATGCAAATACCATCTTGCTTGAATGGCTTTTCCCATTGGTCCCTGGACACTTGCCTTCTGACCCTTTCGTGCACCCCGAAATTGATAGCTTCTCTCCCTCTGCCGGTGGCTGCCCACCCGCGGCAGACCCCGCTTCCCCGCGCCTTCGTCTCTTGGGAGCTCCAAACGGGGAAGCGGTCGGCACTGGTCTTCACCGGCAGTCCACCCTTCACCTCCCAGGAGCCCAGCCTTGGAGTCCCGACCGACCGTTGGATGGATCAAAACATATCAAAACCATTCAAGAGGCGTCCGAGGACGGGTGGACGGACCCCGACGAAGGGTCAAAAATAGCAGGGCCTCAAATCTTAGAAGTGTATACCAACAAGGAGAACAAAGCAAGTGACACTGCGGTAGACAGATAGACGGAGCAAACATTTCATCACCAGCTGCTGTGCGGTGCTTCAGCAAGTATGGAGCATCTTTTTTTCAGAAGAGTCTTGCTGCGCCTTTTGGAGCTGTGCGGCCCCACCATCGCAGCTGTTGGTGGTGTGTTCCAGGCCCAAGCAGTGTGCATGCTCTCCTTTTTTGCCTACAAGCTGTGCAAATGGATTTGTCAGATGCGAATCACATTGCAGAGAATGCAAATGATGCATAAAATGCAACAAAAGGTATCCATGCACCAAATGGCGCACACGATTCCGCCAATATTGCAATAGGCCGCCATGAACAAATTTCCAACAGACCAAGCATCCTTCTTTGCCCCCGAAATCATCAGAACCCATACTACTGTCAAATGCAACTCCTCTACTGCCACCTGCAAAGGAGACCAATTTGGCTTTCCTCCCATACCCACCAGTAGGTTCTTCACTGCCAATGGCTCCTTGTTGGCCCCAGCATCCACCAGCAACCTCACGACTTTCCGGTGACCACACTCAGCTGCTGCATGCAAAGGGCTCCAGCCATCCTTGTTCACCGCATCTTGGTCAGCGCGAGCCTCCAACAACATCTGCACGACTTCTGAGTGGCCTTTTGTGGCTGCGAAATGCAAAGGAGTGAAGCCAGCCGGATTACGAGCCTCAGTGTCACTTTTGGCCTCAACCATCAAGCGAACCACTTCCAAGTGACCGTGGCAAGCTGCCAAGTGAAGTAGGACACTCGCCTGAATGAGCTCTGTCAATTGCTTGTTGGGATCGAAGGGTGTCTGGAGGAGCTTCTCAACGTCCCGGACACGATTCTCAGAACATGCACAGATCAATGCTTTCTCGTCTGCTTGATCAGGGGGATGAAAGTCCGATATTAGCACTTGACAAGGACTCGGGCAGGTCTGCAGATTGTCCTAGTCAAACGGCAAGGCGCAGTTTCAGGTGCTTGATCATGTGGCCCGCTTCCCCCATCTGCCGAAGCTCCTCTTCCTCCAGCTCCGTGACAGCTTCACCGGACAGAGCACTAAGGCACAACATGGAGGACAAAGAGGATCAAAATGAATTGAATAACCTACAAACAACGGTTTTCTGGAACTCTGGACTGAGCCAAGACAGTGACGCTTCGCAGAGTTCCCTGCGGACCTGACATTCGCCCAGTCCCCCGTTCGACCAGGCGGCTCTGGCACCGAGCCAACCACAAAGACTTCATCCCCCACGTTGGTATCTTTGCAAGTCACCTCGAGAGCGAGGGCAGTCACGGCATAATCACACAGATGGGGCGAGCAAGAAATCACCACGCTCATTGTGAGAGGTTTCCAGAAATGTCCAGACGGTTTCCAAATCCCAGTCTGAACCCGAAAAGGATTTGGTGAACCCAAATGTCGTGGCTCTGCCGGTCGAAACGAGGTCCCGGGGCTGCCTGAAATGTCACGCTCGTCGGCGGCATGGATCGCAGGCACGCAGGCACGCGTGTTGTGCGGGCACACGGGCGCGGCCCAACAAACAAGATCACATGGGCAGCGTGGTTTCTCCCAATATGACTCCTGCCAACTGCCAACCGCAAGTATTGAGCTGATTCCAGATTGACACCACCATACCACTCTCTTGGAGGTCAAAACCCTGTCGAGGTGATTGATTTACTCAGGATGATCTGCTGAAGGTATCTTCGGGCCCCCACCGCGAAAGTCTTGTGTCAGGTTTTGGTGCGACATGGATCCGGAATATTCTGCAACGATCTGCTTAGCTGGGATAGATTCCTTTTGGTGATCTCTGCTTGGAAAACCTTGCGGTCGATCAGAGCGACGTTGGGGTCACAGTGACAAACCGTTGCCACTGATTGCACTGATCGGAAGGAATGGAGATTCAAATGCAAATGCTCATATGTCGTTCTCATGAAAACAGTGGAATTGCAAGACCTTCCGCAGCTGCCCCCTCACCGGAAGGTACTTCTCCCAAGGGGCCATTCTCATCTGACTAGGATCCCAAATCGCAGGTGTCTTACACCTTCCTGGCATCGCTACTAGGAGCAAGGACGCTACTAAGGGCTCCTGGCATCGCTACTAGGAGCAAGGACGCTACTAGGGGCTCCTGGCATCGCTACTAGGAGCAAGGACGCTACTAGGGGCTCCTGGCATCGCTACTAGGAGCAAGGACGCTACTGGGGGCTCCTTCCCGGCATCGCTCTTAGGAGCAAGGACGCTACTAGGGGCTCCTTCCTGGCATCGCTACTAGGAGCAAGGACGCTACTAGGAGCTCCTGGCCTTACTACTAGGGGCCCCTGGCCTTACTACTAGGAGCAAGGACGCTACTAGGGGCTCCTGGCC